TGTTGTATCATAAGGCCTGTCATTGAGTAAACTGACGCAGTTTCGATTACCCGGTTGTACGTGAAAGGGAGTAGGGTCACCTGTCCAACCTCGTGGGTTTTCTCTGGCCCCCCCCCCCCCTACTGCTAAAGACCCCTACGTGCAAGCAAATTTTTGAAATAAAATGGAACCATAAGTTAGTCCCAAAATGACCTGGTTTGTGTCAAGTAGGGGTTAAGCCCCATCTCTCTCTCTCTTTCTCTCTCTCTCGGTTGTAGACTACACTTTATTTAATTCTTATACACCTTTAATGTAGTGAGCATTGTAGGATAATCGAGGAAAAATGTCTTCAACGAGTCAAAACAATATGGCTCATGATATACTTTGTCAATATTGTAGTATGCTAGACAAGATAATATAAGAAATTTGAATCCCTTCATGGGAAAGCGAGGCTAAGTCTTGAATATACCAGTGCCCTGGTTACCACAATGCACATATCTTGTCAAAACTACAAACAATGATAACTTGGCTAAGAATGAAGTAATTTGAATGAAATTTTCAATATTTTCATTTTACATTATATATTTTTGAGCTATTATAGCAAGAATGGTCAGTTCTTTATCTAAATCTTACATGATGCATCTTTAACCTACCTCTATAACGTTCTTATTATACTGTATACTATAATAATGTGTGGTGTATACTTCTATTGATAAGAGAAAATGATAATTAAAAACAAAAAAGGCGGTAATTGAGCAGCTAGTGACGTGATTGTCTATCACACCTCTATTCGCTCATCATTCACAAATCCAAAATACAGATTTCTATTAATGTATTATGATAGATCACTAGAATCTATTGTCTCGTGGAGCTGGATATATTTTAAATTAGACATTGGTTACTCTTAATTAATGGACGTTTTTCACAATATAACAAGTGGTCTGACCTATCAGTTATTGTTACATAATTGTGATATTGGTGTTGTTTCAAATGCAACTGTTTTATGATATTTGTATTGGTGTTGTTGGACCCGCAAGATATTCTCAAACTGTTTGACCTATCAGTTATATTTTTGAAACTCTTTTATGATATTTGTGTTGGTGTTGTACGAAATGCAAGCTGTTCTCAATGACCTAACAGTTAATTTTTGAAACTGTTTTATGATATTTGTATTGGTGGTGTCCGAAATGCAAGCCGTTCTCAGTTATATTTTTGGAACTGTTTTATGATATTTGTATTTATGGTGGTGTTTGAAGCGCAAGGTGTTCTCAAACTGTAATCATGGGAGTAGGCTGTTCTACAGAAAGAGTGGATCTTTCGGAATTTACCAATAACTCTGAGAGTTTACTATCAATGGTTGTAAGTTGCCTTTGACTTTGCTTTTTATTTGGATAATATTTTTGAAATTGTTTTATAATTGTGGTGTTTTTGGAAGGTGTTCTCAAACTGTATAAATAATAATAATTTGTATTTGAAAAAGCACTTCACATTAAAAAAAATTAACTTTTAAGCTTTAAGAATTTTACCTTTAGAATTATTAAAGATTGTAAAAGAGAGAGAGAGAGAGAGAGAGAGAGAGAGGGTTAAATCAACTCATATGGGTCAATTTTATTTCAATAGTTCGCTTGCGCGTAGGGGTCTTTAGCAGTGGGGGGGAAACCGGAGGACCCGGAGAAAACCCACGAGGTTGGAGATTGTAAAAGAAAGTAATAATTAAACCGGCTGTACACACAAATTTCTCTAAATGTGAAAAAAACAACTGATTACTGAAAACAGGAAATGTATTTCTGATGTATTATTAATCTTATTAAAACACAGATCTATATTTCGTTTTTTTTTATACCTTCAATGGCTTACACTACATGAAGATCTGACAAGTTGTAGCGATCGGTCGCGTCAGAGGTCATATGAGCGGCTTTTGACCCTATGACGTCAGACATTTGATTAACCAATCAGCATTCTAATAAATTACCCACAGTTCCGTGCAAAACATGTCTAAAGCTTGCTGTAACAGACCTTTTCATTGGCTAATCCCTATCACCACCCAGAACACGTCATGATAAACTCTTTCAGATCCTAGAGTAGTAAAGACAAGTAAAACAAAATTTTGAACTATAAAAAACGAAACGAAATAGGATCTGTGTTTTAATCAGATTGATGCATTATGTAAGATTTATATAAAGAGCTGGCCGTTCTTGCTATAATAGTTCAAAAATAGATTTTTGAACTGATCTTTCAAATTATTTAAAATTGTAAAAGAAAGTAATAACTAAAACAAAGTTCTTGAAAAATATTTTGAAAAAAAATAGGTATAAAGCTAGTGTTTAAAAAGGAGTTCAAATTGTCAATTTTGCTGTTTTCCGTATTTTAAGGTGGCTTCTGCAGATAAAACATTGATTTCGGTTCCCAGATATAATAAATTGTATGGAAAATGCTCTTTACCAGTTCATGGTGCATATTTATGGAATGAGTTTCCTCAACAGATGCACACGCCAATTCTATTTTTAAGTTTTAAGACAACACTAAAGACACATCTGTTTACCAAATATCTGTGCAAGAACAAATAGTTGACCTCACTGTGAAGTTCTTAGAAATGACCAACAGACATAATTTAGCGCTATATAAGACAATTTATTATTATTATTAGAGCGGCTGTCCCGGCAAAATTACCCTCATAGCACACTGCATGGTGTAGGCCCTTCTTCATTACCCCAGGCAGTGCAGCAAAGTAGGACGTTAAAACCACATTTCATTTGATTTGAACATCACAAGTCTATTGTGATAATTACGTAGATAAAATAATTGATTACTCTTTTGTTCACCTGATCGTTTATCCTATTCTGTCATGTTGAATCATATTTGTTCTTAAATATTTTATGTTTTCATTATCGCTGAACGTGTCGAATATAATGTGGAATATAAAGTCGTATGAATCACTTTATTACTTCAATATTAGGTAAATAATTAAGCAGTATTATTCAAGATGAGATAAAGAGCTGACAGTTCTAGCCATAATAGTTTAAAAATAGATCATGAAAAAGGTATATATTGAGTTAAGTAATTTGACTGAAAGTTACGGGGTTGGATGGCCGAATGGTTAGCATAAGGTCTGTCATTGAGTCAACTGGCGTGGTTTCGATTCCCCGGTTGGATGTGACAAGGAGAAGGGTCGCCTGTCAGTCCTCATGGGTTTTCTCTGGGCCCTACGGTTTCATCCCACTTCTAGAGACCCCTACGTGCAAGCGAATTATGGAAATAAAATTGTATCATATGTTAGTCCGTTAAACCCCATTTCTCTCTCTCTCTCTCTCTCTCTCTCAGAAAGTTACTCAGGATTTTCTGGTGTGGTTTACACTGTGGTGCTGGACGCAGGATGCTTTTCCTGATAATTCTTGACATAGAATCGCAAAGTGATTACAGCCTTGAGCATGTCGGCAACCAATATGAAATGAAGCCATTTCATCCTGAATGTCAAAGAAGTGGAAAATAGTTCTATTATAGTATTAGATGTCCCTTCAGTCAATAAACAAGTCAAGCATCTCAACAGGCGGTCATTGTCCATCTTTATGTACTGTAAGCTGATCAATGTCTCATCATTTTGTCTAATTAAATTATATCTCTAACGAAATGAAATATTGACACACCATGTCTTATACCCAGTGGGAGACCCTGCATTACAGGAATTGATCTACCTTCATATAGCCTCACTGCTTTCTTTGAGCCCCAGTAGCAAGGAATCAGTCTACCTTCATAGATCCTCACCAGCAAGGGATCAATCTACCTTCATAGATCCTCAACAGCAAGGGATCAATCTACCTTCATAGATCCTCACCAGTAATTGATTAATCCACCTTCATAGATCCTCACCAGCAATTGATCAATCTACCTTCATAGATCCTCACCAGCAATTGATCAATCTACCTTCATAGATCCTCACCACCAATAGATCAATCTACCTTCATAGATCCTCACTAGCAAGGGATCAATCTACCTTCATAGAGCCTCACTAGTAAGGGATCAATCTACCTTCATAGAGCCTCACTAGCAAGGGATCAATCTACCTTCATAGATTCTCACCGGCAAGGGATCAATCTACCTTTATAGAGCCTCACTACTTTCTTTGAGCCATAATAGCAAGGGATCAATCTACCATCATAGATTCTCACCAGCAATTGATTATTCTACCTTCATAGATCCTCACTAGCAAGGGATCAATCTACCTTCATAGAGCCTCACTAGCAAGGAATCAATAAAATCAGTGCCATCTGATGGCCAAGAGAGTTGATTATGGACATATTAATAGTTTTATATAACATTTGCGGCCATAAAGAAAGACCTGCAATAGGCAGATTTAACTCTTGCATAGTGGATCTTTAAGATACAATTGATCTCTTTGACGTTTAGGCTTGAATGTTAAAATGCGTAGAATCTTCAACAACTTTAATTCTGGCTTGTGTTTATTTTACTTGATGTAAACATTAATCTCTGAAATGATTATTAACGTTGTTATATTTTCACTTTGATCGATATTTATTTCAGAGAGAATATCTCAGACTCGAGTTGACAAAGCATTCTCAGACTTAAGTCAAGAATTTACTCAAAATTTTTCGCCTGGTTTTAAATTAAATATAGCCCTTTATAAAACTTTTGTTGTTTTAATGTATCAAATACATCAATAAGAAACTATGTTCAAAGTTTTGTGTTTCTGGATCAAAGATATTTCTCATAAACAGTGATTGAAAGTTGAGTAAATTCTTAACTCTAAGTCTGAGAATGCTTTGCGAATTCGGGGCCAAATCTCGTGGGTTTCGTCTTGTCAATAAGAAGACCAGAAAATGTCTGCCTTGATAACATAAATTATTATTTCAAAGGTGGTTTGAGACGAAAACCGAGGACCTGTGTATACATTGTCGTGCACATGAAAAATACCGTGGCAGTTGGAATTTCATTAGCCCAGTCGGAACAGAACAGTAGGATGTTTAAATCCCATTTCATTTCAATTTTATTTTTTTATTTTCCAGGTGAGCGAAGAATGTAATAACTTGCGGGTTCATTTAGCAGAAGCGCAGACCGAACGAGAGGCAGCCAAAGAGGAAGTTGCCGTTTTACAAAACCGTGTTGATAGTTTGGAAAATTTAGTTCGGGTAAGTCCTGTCCCATGCTAAATTGCTTTGTTGGAAGACAAGTGTCACCTTGAAAATTGGTTTCCTAAGATATTTTCCATCCAATTTTAAGCAGGGGGTTGGGTGGCCCAATGGTTCAACACATGTGGTTTAGATCGTAAGGTCTGTCATTGAGTCAAGTGGCGTGGTTTTGATTTCCAGCTTGTACATGACAAGGAGTAGGACCGTCTGACCAACCTTGTGGGTTTTCTCCGCATCCTCTGGTTCCCTCCCATTGCTAAAGAACCCTACACAAAACCGAGTCATTGAAATAAAATGAATCAAGTCACATGACAAACATGGCTAGGTGAAATAATATTTTACAGCTTGGGGTAGTTTTCATTCGATTAAAATGTTCGATAGCGATTTGAAAGATAACTCTTGATACATAAATTAGTTTGAATTCAAATATATATTCAAATCACACAGTTTGTATGTGGGATGGCATCTTTAATCACACAGTTTGTATGTGGGATGGCATCTTTAACCACACAGTTTGTACGCGGGAAGGCATCTTTAACCACATTCTTTACATTTTGACACATCGTGAAGAAAGCCGTTTGTCAATAACAGTGAACAGTTAAATTGATTAAAACTAATTAAACCCAGTATACAACAAGTTGTCACATTTGTACTTGAACCTTGAACTCTGACCCCTATTCATAGAGTTAGATCGATTCATTTACTTTTTAGGTGTAACCCAAAATAGCTCATATAACAGATCGTTCACTTGGTGAATGGGTTTTTTTAGTTTCTGATATATATGATATTTCATGTAGGATATCTAATTGGGATTTGGAAAAAAAGGTAAAACTGAATTTTGTTGATCTCCACATGAAATTTGCAAGATAATCTATGAGGAGGTGTATTCTTAATTTCAAAATGTCTCGGGGATGGGGGTGGAGGGCTATTTATGGAAAAATCTGATGTTGCACAATAATTGCAACGGTTTGACTTCTTTTTGTCTGCCATATTTGCATTGACGTAGTATAACAGTATATATATATATATATATTCGGTTGAACAGAACAGAAGATACATTCAGTTATCAACAGTGGCTAAGTGGGTAAGATGCTGGCCGAGAAAGTTCATCCAGATTTTCCGGAGTGGTTCCCCCATGTTAGTGATACAGGATGGAGGGCCTGACAAGGACAGCTGTCTAGTCGTTCGGATGGGATGAAAAACCGAGGTCCCGTGTACACATTGGCGTGCACGTAAAAGATCCCTTGACAGTTGGAATTCGATATAAGAGTAGGCTGTAGTAGTGCCGCTGTCCAGGCAAAATTTCCTTCATAGCACACTGTATGGCGTATGCCCGTCTTCATTAGCCCAGTTCGGAGCAGAACAGTAAGACGTTAAACTCCATTTCATTTCATCAACAGTGATCATTTTTCGAGCTATTTTACATGCAAGATGGACAGTGTGTTTTTCTTCTGTGAGTTAGGTACGATGAAAAATGAAATGAAATGAAATGGGGTTTAACATCCTACTGTTCTGCTCCGACTTGGGTAATGCAGACAGGTATACGTCATACAGTGTGTCACAGGTGAAATTTTGTCTTATATTGAATTCCACCTGCCAAGAGTTCTTTTAGGTCCTTACCCACCCAATATTTACATGGAAAGTTGGTTCTTCGTACGATTCGAACGACTCTACGTTGTCCCTTGTCAGGCCCTCTGTGCTAGCTACACCACTGACATGATGAACATTAAGTTTGCCTTCTGTGAGTTTAGTACAGTGATGATTGATGTCTAATTACAGGAGCTACATGATTCGGCGGAGCAACTTCATCAGTTAGAGAATGACTACCAACAAGCTATTCAAACCGTCGATGAAAAACAGGAACAAATCAAACATCTCCAGCAGGTAGGAGCAGTTCCAATTATTATAAGGAGTACTTTTTGGTACAGCTTTTGGGGCAATTCAATTATTATAGGGTGTACTTTTTGTATAGCTTTTGGGGCAATTCCAATTATAATAGGAAGTACTAATTGAGATACGAATAGGGGCAATTCCAATTAAAGGGATTACTTATTGTGGTAACAGTCGGGGCTATACCAATTATTATAGGGATAACTAATTGTGATAATAGTCGGGGCTATACCAATTTTTATAGGGATTACTAATTGTGATAATAGTCGGGGCTATACCAATTATTATAGAGAGTACTAATTGTGATAACAGCAAAAGTGTAATTCTCCAGTAGAGAAAACCTTTTGTCCAACTAATGCATGCATAGGATACCTCTGTGGATTATAAAATCCAAGTTCAAATAATCACTCTGGTTTATGGCTTCTGAAATTCAAGTTCAAATGATCGCTCTAGTTTACGGCTTCTGAAATCCAAGTTCAAATGATTGCTCTAGTTTACGGCTTCTGAAATCCAAGTCCAAACAATCACCCTAGTTTTGCTTCTGAAATACAAGTCCAAACAATCACCTGTCATTAAGTCAACTGGCGGGGTTTCGATTCCCTGGTTGTACGTGATAAGGAGCAGGATTGCCTGTCCAACCTCGTGGGTTTTCTCTGGGTCCTACGATTTCCTCCCTCTGCTAAAGACCCCTACGCGCAACTGAATTATTGAAATAGAATTGAAGCATGTGTTAGTCCCGAAATGACCTAGTTTGCGTCAAGTGGAAATTAAACCCCATTTCTCTCTCCCTCTCTCTCTCCAAACAATCACTTTTATTTCTATTGTACTATTGTAATCAGAGGGGTTGGGTGGACGAGTGTTCCAACAAGTGTGCTTTAGATCATTGTCATTGAATCAAGTGACGTGGTTTCTATAAGGAAGGGGGGTTGGATGGCCAAATGGTTAGCGCATGCGCGTTGGATCATAAGGTCTGTCATTGAGTCAACTGTCATGGTTTCGATTCCCCGGTTGTAGGGTCATCTGCCCAACCTCGTGGGTTTTATCCGGATCCTCTGGTTTCCTGCCACTACTAAAGACCCCTACGTGCAAGAAAATTTTTGAAATAAAATTGAACCATATGTTACTCCCGAAATGACCTAATTTGTGTCAAATGGACACTAACTTCGTGGGTTTTCTTCAGGTCCTCTCGTTTCCTCCCACTGTCAAAGACCCCCTACGCGCTAGCAAATTACTGAAATTATAGTGGACCATGTTAGTCTCAAAATGACAGTTTATTTCGAATGGAAGTTAAACCCTATTTTATAAATTTGAACCACCATCTGGTGCAGGGTAGATTTTTGTTCAATAAATGTGCGATAATTAATATGTGTCATCTATTTATTTTGGGATTTTGGCGGGGGACATCAGCCTCACTGTTGTCTTGTTATAATTTGTGTATAGGTCCAGCAACAATAAATTTCCTGGTTACTGTAATTTTTATAATTTGTGTATAGGTTTCAGCAACAATAATTTTCCTGGTTAATGTAATTTTTATGATTTGTGTATAGGTCCAGGAAGAAAGTCGAGTACACCATGACAAGGCTTTAACAAGTTTAAAGGTTGGTATAATATCCATACATTTACCAATCTGATTAAAACATAGATTCTATTTCGCTTCGTTTTTATAGTTCAAAATTTCGTTTTACCTGTCTTCACTACACTAGGATCTGGAAGAGTTGTTATCATTGACGTGTTCTGAATGATGTGAGCATTAGCTAATGAAACAGTGTGTTACGGCAAGCTTTAGGCGTGTTTTGCACGGAAATGTGGTTAATCCACTAGTAACATGTCTGACGTCATAGGTCAAAAGTCGCTCGTATGACCTCTGACGCAACCTATCGCTACAACCAGTCAGATCTTCGTGTAGTGTAGGCCATCGAAAGTTTAAAAAAATGAAACGAAATATAGATCTGTATTTTAATCATATTGTACAATATAACTAAATTTCCATCTTGTGGAAGATTTTCCCACCATGTTCTTAGAAGCAAGACTGTATCTTGATTGAATAATGTATATGCCATCAAACTGGAATAAATACAGTTATATTTAGAATTTCAATGAACTTAACCTTAAAGTAGCTAAGTCTCTTAACTCATTATCATCCAAAGTCTTGGACATTGAAAACACAAATTATTTATTAATTTAAATCAACATTTATGTTGTGATCTTACCGGGAAATTGTACCATAATGCGTTTCAGTGCCATTTGTAACAAGACTCGAAGAATGAGATTAGACATATTCCGCAAGAATTCATGTCAAATGGTGACGCCATAAACTTGTCTGGGAAAGCACGCGCAATAAATACTATCGGTGTAGACTATCGATTGAGACTTCTTGCATATTTCGCCAAACATAGCTGGTTTGAAATTAGAGTAAAGATGGAAACGATTGAAAGTAAATCAGTTTATATACATTCATATTACATTACTATATGCGACTTAGCTCCTTAAAACTATGATATTCTGAGGGGGAAAACTCGGTTCTAAAGGTCATTTCGATTGCATCAATATCTGATACTAATGACACTTTGTTGTGTTTCAATAATTAATGTAGGTTCAACTTTGTTTCTTGACGAAGATCTTAATAAACCCCAGCTTAATTTTTTGTCTGTCGATTCCTCAAGTAATAAAAACATATTTCATCTCCCCAAATAATAAAAGTAATTAGACCAAATTATAAATTATTTACAGAAATTCATAAGGGGGTAGGGGCTGGCTGTCAGCATAGCAAGTCAAAATGGGGTTTCAGGAGCTTGTCTTTTGGGAGAACTTTTAAACTATTTTTTTGGTGGCGCCACAGTGGCTCAGTGAGTAAGATGTTGGCTTCCTAACTTGGATAGAGGCCTGGCAAGGGACAATGAATAGTCATTCGGATGTGATGAAAGACTGAGGTCCTGTGTACATATTGGTGTGCACGTAAAAGAACCCCAGGCAGATGAAATTTGATATAAGAGTAGGCCATAGCCCACTGTCCAGGCAAAATTTCCCTCATAGCACCACTGTCCAGGCAAAATTTCCCTCATTAGACCAGTCGGAGCAGTACAGTAAGACATTAAACCCCATTTCATTCAGGGGGGTTGGATAGCTGAATGGTTAGCGTGCGCGCGCTGTATCATAAAGCCTGTCATTGAGTCGACTGGCGTGGTTTCGAATCCCCGGTTGTACGTGACAAGGAGTAGGGTCGCCTGTCCAACCTCGTGGGTTTTCTCCGGGTCCTCCGGTTTCCTCCCACTGCTAAAGACCCCTATGCGCAAGCGAATTATTGAAATAAAATTAAACCATATGTTAGTCCCGAAATGACCTAGTTGTGTCGAGTGGACGTTAAACCCCATTGCTCTCTCTCTCTCTCCATTTCATTCATTCCAGTAATATTGTGTAATTTTTCTATCAACAGGTGAAGATTCAAGAATTGGAGAATCAGTGTAAATTTCACGAAAACCGAAATAAAGACTTAAACTTTGAATTAAATAACTTACGTTCGGATTATCCACCTACCTCAAATAGTGACATTCAAACGGACACAAACTCTCAGGATATATTGAAACGTTCGGAAACATATCCCGGAAAGTCTAGTGGATTTATTAATAGTGATCCATCAAGTTTATTTGATAACGAATACAGATATTCTAATCACCAAGGTAACAATTAATATTAAAATGATCTTTCTTTCTGGGGCTTTATTGTTATGCATAACCTTTGAGCTTTTTTGGTGGTGGTTTGTTATTGGTGGGTCATTGTGGCTCAGTGAGTAGGGTGCAGGCTCACTAACCAGTGGGGGAATATTTTCAATCCTGATGTTGTTCGATAAAGTTACTCTGGTTTTTCGTCCCATCAGAACAACTAGACACTTATTTCCTAGCTGGACCATCTTGTGGCAAAACTGTCAATCGGAAACTAAACTAGGGGATATCCTGAGGAACTCTAATTCTTCGGTAAACACCAGGATCAAATCTGGTTGGTTAGCCTGTGCCATACTCATAGATCCACCATCAAAACATTAATAGAAGTTCTCTAAAACCTGTACTAGGTACTTTGAAATTTGTTTTTTTCTTAAATTAAAGATACATTATCTAAAATTTAGATAAAGAGCTAGTCATTCTTGCTATAATAGTTCGAAAAAAGATAATGTAAAATGAATAATTTGACAATTTCAATCAAATTACTCTATACTGGTTGTTCGAAGCTAAGTCTCGCTCCTCCATTTTTAAATCAAATCAAAATATGGCTGAACCGTATGTTTAATGTATTTTCATTTGTTTTTTTAAATTTGGATGGGTTATTTTTTGGGGCTTTAAAATTTGGATTTTTTTGGCTGAAGTTTTTTGTTAGTTTTGGATGGGGTTTTCATTTTATTAGATGAGGTTTCTGCTTGTTTTTCAATTTGGATAGGGTTTTTCATCCTCTGCACTTTTTTAATTCTTCTTTCTAGTGGATATTTTACCAGCTCAATCAAATCTTACAGAGGCCAATCTTTCCAACACAGCAGCACCAACAGAGTCCAGTAAATCTTTAGATACAGGTTAATATATACATTAATATATACGGCTTCCTATTCAAGCAAGGCACTTTATTAAATGTACATTTATAGCTTGACCAAAATTGTCACAGTTCTTTAAAAACGGCATGGTGCATTATAGATTCCTAATGGTGTACAACTTCATATTCGAGCAAGGCATTTATTAAATTTATAGCTTGACCAAAATTGTCACAGTTCTTTAAAAAGGGCAAGGTGCATTATAGATTCCTAATGGTATTGGGACATCTATTTAAAAAGCTCGATAAAAATATACATATTTGCTGGTTTGTTTGATAAGGAAAAAAACATTTCATTATTCTCCAAAGCTTGATAAAAAAAAATATGCGGGTTTGTTTGATAAGGAAAAAAACATTCTCAAAATCAGTGATTGGAACATAATGAATTGTGTTTTTAGGATACCGAGATTTTGCTTAATGGAACAGTCTCGCCTTGGAAAGTCAAAACATGTTCTGTTTAGTAATTATTTGATACAAATGTTATTTACATCCATGTCATTTGTCAGGTATAGTCTAGCCATGCTTTTACATCCATGTATCAAATAGTTTAAAGAGACACTGCCATATATAATGGGGGGTTGGGTGGCTGAATGGTTAGCACGTGCGCGCTGTACCATAAAGTCTGTCATTGAGTCAACTGACGTGGTTTCGAATCGCCAGTGGTACGTGGGAAGGAGTAGTGTCGCCTGTCCAACCTTGTGGGTTTTGTCCGGGTCCTCCGGTTTCCTCCCACTGCTAAAGAACCCCTACGCGCAAGCGAATTATTGAAATAAAATTAAACCATGTGTTAGTCCTGAAATGACCTAGTTTGTGTCGAGTGGACGTTAAACCCCATTTCTCTCTTTCTCGCCATATATAACAAACAGTGCTGTCTCCGTGCTAGCCTTGGAATGTTTGAGCCTTGTGCAGAGTATAGGCCTATTGTATTAGACCTCCCTCGAAACAGTTCAAGTTGTTTTTCAAAGCTAGGCACTTTATTTTAGTAAACATTACGAAATTAGTGTTAAGTTTATGTGAAAACGTTATTTTTATTTTTTTCATAACATTTGTATTATTGTACAGTAGAGACAAACATATTTTCTGTTCACCAACATTATTTTAAATTACATCCAAAAAAAGGTTTATTTGACGTTTGAGTGATCAATAATGGTTCAGTGAGTACTTATGCACTGATTCATTTATCAGGAAGTCCAAGGTTCAACCCCAGTGATGGCTGAGACATTTTCTCAGGATTTTTTAGTGTGGTCCACCCTTCTTTCTGGTACAGGATGGTTCATTGTCATTTTCCGGCAGGGTTTCCCCCTTGTCAGTGGTGCAGGACGGAGGGCATGACAAGGACAGCTGTCTAGTCATTTTGATGGTACAAAAAACATGAGGTCTTGTGTACACATTGGCATGCACATAAAAGATCCCTTGGCAGTTGGAATTTGAGTAGGCCATAGCACTGCTGTTCAGGCAAAATGTTCTCACAGTGTATGCCTGTCTTCATTAGCCCAGTAGGACATTAAACCCCATTTCATTTTATTTACAGAAAAGGAGGACATTAAACCCCCTTTCATCTCATTTATTTGAAATTTAATGTTTATTTTTATTCTTATTATCAAATACATTATTTTTACTGAGCCGTATTTCTGAAATTCAAAAGCAATTTTTCACTCTGTGATGAATGCTGTCACTTAAAAATATTAAACGCTTTTGTTTTGCTTCACAAATTGAATTAAATTTTTGATTGAGGAGAAAATAACTGAAACAAATTTTTCTCAATATCCGTGACAGAAAAAAAGTGATAAATCGTGAAAACACTTCTAGTTGGTATCTATGGACAGTTCTCAGACTAAAATTCCAGTGATTTGTATTAATGGGTGTTAAACATTGACAGACATCTATGGCCAGTTGTGTTCCCTAATGGGAATTGACTTTGATATCTGACAACGTGTAGGATTACTTTGTATTAGTTGAATGGTCTCCCTTGGCTGTTTCTCCTCTTAAACAAGACGAAATTGACTAGTTTGAAGGACGTGAGCATTAGTAACTAATCTGTTTAAAGTGATGTATATATACTTTATCGAGAAGATTAGAACCAAACGATCGAATCTGACACCATTTTTACCCGTCTTCAGTCGCAAAAGAGCGATTGGACAGATTTAGGTTGAAGTGAATACTTAAACTAGGATAATTTAGACCTATAAAACGTCGTTCATCAACTCTGGTAATATTATCGACAGAAAACAGAAGGTGATTGTCTTTACGAAAAATGTTACTTAGCAAGTTCATGTGTTTTCTGTGATTACAGATGCAGTGAAGACTGTCTTTGCGAAAATGAAATGAAATGGGGTTTAACATGTTACTGTTCTGCTCCAACTAGTCTTTGCGAAAAACCACCTAACAGGGTTTTTTGCCCATGTATTTTCTTTGCTTAATTTGTGGTGGTTGGTTGGCCAAATGGTTAACACGTGTGCCTTGTATCATGAGGTCTGTCATTGAGTCAACTGGTGTGGTTTTGATTCCCTGGTTGTATGTGATAAAGAGTAGGGTCGCCTGTTCAACTTTGTGGGTTTTCTCTGGGTTCTCCGGTTTCCTCCCACTGCTATTGAATCATATGTTAGTCCCGAAATGATGTAGTTTGTGTCGAGTTAAACCCCTTCTCTCTTTCTCTCTCCTCTCTCTCTCTCTCTATTTTGTTGTTGGAACAGACCACTTTCTTTCAGATATCTTTAACCTGTTAAGCGTGACGTTTTTAAAACGTTAACTATCCCCTATTGTGTAATTAATTTGATGAAGTGATGAAGAACTATGTACCATGTTCTAAGAATAGGTTGGGGAAAATACCTCTAAGGCGTTATATTACGCCCTACACACAGTGAGTGGCAGTTGTCCAGGACATAATATAATGTCCTACACATGCTGCGATCGTGAATTCCCAAGGGATTCCCCCAAGTGACGCACTATGTTCTAAGAATAGGTTGGGGAAAAAACCTACAAGGCGCTATATTACGCCCTAACACACAGTGAGTGGCAGTTGTCACACAGTGAGTGGCAGTTGTCCAGGACGTTATATAATGACCTACGTACTTAATGGGTTAATAAGTGTTGAGAAATTTTTATATAAAAATTACATACTAACTATAAATCCCATTTTTAATCAATTTAAAAAGAAAAAAACTTGGTTAGAATGAATCAAATTTTAATGGCCAAAGTCATTAATAAATGGAATTTACAGCTCTTAAGAGAAGTTGGTCAAGTTTTTGTATTTTAAAATTGATTTGAGCTGATGTAATAGTCCAATTTCCTTTGAGTTTGCCTTCATTTCTAGACCAAAGTGAGAAAAAGACCAAAATTATTTTTAGGCCTCCAATTATATTAAGAGCGACCATTATGTTGATGCAGTTGAACGTTAGAGGTGCTAATATCTAGAATAGTATCATAAAAATTGAATAATGTTGCTATGGATACGGTACCTTTGATTAGCGCCATTTCCTGTCATTTCTATTCTAGATAAAAAACTGAAATTATTGTCATGCTTTTTGATATTAGGACAGTTTAAAATGAGGAAACTGAAAGTAGATGCATTGAATTCTTTTTTTGGTTTGTATAAAATAGAAATAAAATTTAAAAAAAAGAACTGTTATTTAAGTAAAATCATGTATCAAATTCAATAGGGGGATTGGATGGTCGAATGGTTAGCACGTGCGCGCTGTATCATAAAGTCTGTTATTGAGTCGACTGGCGTGGTTTCGAATCCCTGGTTGTACGTGACAAGGAGTAGGGTCGGGTCGCCTGTCCAACTTTGTGGGTTTTCTCCGGGTCCTCCCACTGCTAAAAACCCCTACGCGCAAGCGAATTATTGAAATAAAATTGAACCATATGACCTAGTTTGTGTCAAGTGGACTTTAAACCCCATTTCTCTCTCTCTCTCTATCAAAATCAATAATCCATTTTGATTTCAAGTCAATGAAGTAGAATAATAATAAGACAATAAAATTGCTGTTGAAAACTGTGTTAGTAGTATGTTTTAAGATACTACGTTCGTTTAGGTCAATGCAGGGAGCCACAGTGGCTAGGTGGTTATGACGCTGCCTCGCTAGCCATGAGGTCAGGTGTTCGATCCCTGCATTGGCCGAGAAAGTTCATCTGGATTTTCCGACGTGGTTTCCCCCTTGTCAGTGGTGCAGAACGGAGGGCCTGACAAGGACAGCTGTCTAGTCCTTCGGATGATACAAAAAACCAAGGTCCCGTGTATACATTGGAATGCACGTAAAAGATCCCTTGGCAGTTGGAATTCGATATAAGAGTAGGCGATAGTGCCGCTGCCCAGGCAAAATTTCCCTCATAGCACACTGTATGGCGTATGCCCGTTTTCATTAGCCCAGTATAGGAGCAGAACAGTAGGACGTTAAACCCCATTTCATTTCATTCAGGTCAATGCAAATGAAATGAAATGGGGTTTAGCAATGTCATACTGTACTGCTCCGAACTGGGCTAATGAAGAGCTTATGCCATACAGTATGCTATGAGGCATAAATCATTCATGAAATTCAATGAAGTCATTGACATGGTTTTGAAAAAAAAAAAGTTTTACTTTGACTAAAGTAAATCATTCATGAAAATCAATAGTTCTTGATATAATTTTAGCAAAATGGTTTTGCTCTTGAAATTCTTTTTTTTTTGGGGGGGGGGGGGGATGGGGTTATAAATTCGCACCGGTACTGAAAATTTATGAAATCATTGATATAGTTTTGAAAAATGGTTTATTTACCTGTAGGGAGTTTACCTTGATACAGTTGATTAACTCATAAAACATTTGTACCTACATTTGGTTCATTTACCTGCCAGTTTAACAAGCTCATCAATTAACACCTATAGCAAGGGACATCTGTTCTGGTGTCCAACTGTTACATACCAACTCTTTTGTTCTTGAAACAAAGACATCTAGACGTCTCCTTTTTTCAATCCCTTGATAATATGCAGGTGGGACAAGAGGTAAAGGGTAAGAGTTGTTTTTATCTTGGATAAAGTTTGGGTTTCCGAATTCAAAACTCTTTGAGATGTTGGCTTGCTTAGGGAAATGGTTGTTTTGGCTCCTTTTCCAAGGGTAAGAGTTGTTTTTGTCTTGGATAAGGTTTGGGCTTCCGAAATCTCTAGTCAGGAGATGTTGGCTTGCTTTAGGGAAAATGTTGTACTTAAAACAAAGACATAGATGGCTCATTTTCCTTGCTTGATAATATTTATATTTTCTGATGGTGCATGAAGTTAAGAGTTGTTTTTGTCTTGGATAAGGTTTGGGCTTCCCAAATCGTTAATCAGGAGATGTCAGCATGCTTTAGAGATCCCTTGATAATATTTATGTTTTCTGACAGGACAAGAGGTAAAGGGTAAGAGTTGTTTTTATCTTGGATAATTTTTGTGTTTACAATCTTCGAAACTCAGAAGGCGTCAGTGCTAGCTTTAAGAAAAATTTTGTTCTTTCAACTCTCTTTATTTCAGAAAGATTCATTCCTTTTACTAAGTATTGGTAAGAACCATGTAATTACTGTATTTTAAATTGTAGTACAAATATCGTAGGCGGTTTCTCCAGGCAAGATTTGTGTCAGCTTTTTTTGATTTTCCTTAATGTCTTTGAAAGGTGTTGTTATTGATATAATTGTTTGTTAAAGGAAATTAAATGGAACATTTGGATTGTTTTTCTGTCACGAAAGTGAAACAGTTTCTATTCAAGTTTTCTGGGTAAACGGAACAGCATTTTAAGAGTATGCTTACATTCAGACTTGATAGAAAACTGACGTGAAGCTAAATCAAGGGAGTCAAAATATGTCTGCTATATATCAGTATAGTTGTAGCTGGAGTTTTAATATCAACCCTGACCCGAGTTCACCAAGCATTCTCGGACCTAAGTTAAAAATTTACTCAAAATTGTTCGCTTTATAAAACTTTTGTTGTTTTAATGTATTACATACACCAATAAGAAACTATGTGAAAAGTTTTGTGTTTCTGGATCAAAGATATTTCTCATACACATTGATTGAAAGTTGAGTAAATTCTTAACTTAAGTCTGAGAATGCTTTGTGAACTCGGGGCCAATCAAAGGGGATTCGGTGGCCAAATGGTTGAACGTGTGCACATTAGATCATAAGGTCTGTAATTAAGTCAAGTGGTGTGGTTTTGATTCTACGCTTGTACGTGACGAGGAGTAGGGTCGTCTGTGCAACCTCATGTGTTTTGTCCAGGTCTTCCAGTTTCCTGCCACAGGTAAAGAAACCTATGCGCAAGTGAATTATTCAAATAAAATTGAAACACATGTTAACAACCCTAGACTTAAATAACAACTTCACATCTGAAATTCTAGCTGTCCTTAACAACTGCATCTATTGGCATCATTTTCATCATATCTTTTCAACATATCTGCTTTCAATATTGATTAATAATCTATTTTCATTAGCCCAGTAGGAGCAGAACAGTAGGGTATTAAACCTCATTTCATTTCATTCATTAATATGTGTTCAAATAGCCTCAGGGATCATTTAGTATCTTTACAAATTTTTTTCTAATCAGGCTTTGCAGAAGAAGAGGAAACGGACGGCTGTAATAACAGCTCCCCAAATAAAAGCGACTGTGATGATCCAGAATTGTATGAAATAGGCAAAAAATTAAAAGAACTTGCCGTATCGGAATCGGATGATGATGGTGGCAGTGGTTTAGAAGGTGATTGGGTGTGCTTTTAATAACTCACTTTTGTTCTCACTTTTGTTTTCTTATTTAACTCTTTCGTTTTCTATCAGATTTATTTTCGAATTTCTTTTTCCTTTTCAGTTTCACCATTAACATTAATTTTTGTTTTTGTAAGTCTATTCTCAGATTTATCACGTATTAAAGGTTTCGTAAGGCATCACAAAATTATGGCTAAATCTATTTTTTAAGGCCAGCTTAATTTTCGACAAGATCGTTGAGATGTAAATAAGGTTAAGGCACATGATTGTTGGTGATATTTAGGGTTAGGGTAAGGGTAAGCATTAGGGCTAGATTCAGGGATCCGGTTGGGATGAGTGCTAGCATTGTTTACATCTCATGACCTTTGACTAAACTTGAAGTTGGCATTATCAATTAGATCTAACCCAAAATTATGGGTTAGTGCTAAATAATAAGGCCAGCTCAATTTTTTGTCATAGGTCATGAGGTGTAAACAAGGCTGGTGCTAATCCCAACCCTAACCCTGGACCTAGCCCCACTGCTCACCCGAACCCTTACCTACAATCTCGCCAAACCTTGACGAAAATTGAGCTGGCCTTAACAAATAGGAATAAACAATAATTGTATTCTATAGATATATTTTAGCGTATTGGGATTGTGCTAAAAATTGTCATTCTTTTGAAAAAAATATTGGAAATATTGCATTATATTTATAGATTTTATGTGTACCAACACTTTTTAATATATTTTAGAAAATTAGGATCGTGCTAAAAATTTGAAAAGATATTGGACATATTTGTATTTATGCGTCATATAGCTATAATGTTATATATTAGCTATTTTAGTACGATATGTCTGGATGAATAGACTTGCACATAATTCTGTGTATTATCCATTATTCGGTATATTTCTAACTGCTTTGTTCTTAAATTAGCATGCCTTATTATTTAATTTATTTTCCATGCACATTTTGCGTTATTTCTGTCTTCATCTTCCATTTTGTATTCTAAATATAACAGACTGTTGTGCTCTTATTGGCTGTGCTGTAATTAACTTACAAGATTTTTTTACTCCAGGAATTGATTACGAGCAGCCATATTAGGAAACCATCATATAAAGAAGATGGATGCCTATTTTGATATTATATAATAATGAGTCCTGATCTTTTTGATTAGTTTAGTAATATGATCTTGTCCCACATCGTCAAACAATCGGGACCAGGTTAAAGGGATATTGCTCGATACTACAGCTGGATGTTATAGATGCTTATATTCAGTGGTGGACTGGGTCTGAAAATATTGGTTGCCAGGAGACCAAGGGGGCCCACCCACCAATACAATTTTATCATTTAATTTTCAAAATGAATAAATTAAATTTTCAAAATGAATAAATTAAATTTTCCAAACGAATAAATTAAATTTTCAAAATGAATAAATTAAATTTTCAAAATGAATAAATTAAATTTTCAAAATTTTCAAAATGAATGAATAAAAATTTTCAAAATGAATAAATTAAATTTTCAAAATGAATAAATTAAATTTTCAAAATGAATAAATTAAATTTTCAAAATTTTCAAAATGAATAAATTAAATTTTCAAAATGAATAAATTAAATTTTCAAAATGAATAAATTAAATTTTCAAAATGAATAAATTAAATTTTAAAAAAATATAGAAGTGGAAACAAAAAGATGTAATTAGAATTTTCCCGATTTTGTTTTCTTTATATTTTTTGATAATTTATATTTTAAATATATTGTCTAATGTCGAAGGGGGTCCACTTCCCCAGGGGCCCACTTGCCATTGGGCAAGCTGACAACGTGGCCAGTCCGCCGCTGCTTATATTTAAACAAATTTTTATAAGCTAAAAAAGTTTAGATATTTTGACCTTTTCAGTTAAACATACATTATGCAAGAGCTAAATCTGACTCAGCAGGTCTTTCTTTAGGCCTGAAATAGTATATATAACCTATTAATTAGTCATTAATCAACATGAAAAGACATTAATCAACACTCGATGCCATCTTATATGTCGGATTTTCACTGGATTTGAACCAATTTGCTGCACAACGCTCATTGATGATTTAATCCAAAAATGGATAATTGAGACTATGTTTTTTATCGTACCGACTTTAGTAATGATGATGGAGGCTAGGCCTAAAATTCAATCGCTAATATCTCGGTTCAGCATATTCCCTTTACATTAATTATCTAGTTTTTAACTCTTAAGAGTTAGATCTGCCAGCTCTTTATCTAATCTTCCATAATGCCCCTTTAAGGTTAGAGTTAATTACGTATTTGCACATTTCATCATTTTGTCAATAAGACAATTTACTACAGGTGCCTAAAGCTAGTGGGGGTCAGGGTGGCTAAGTGGGTAAGACGCTGGCTTGCTAGCCTGGAGGTAGGAGTGTTCGATCTCTGCATTTGCCGAGAAAGTTCATCAAGATTTTCAGGCGTGGTTCCTCCTTGTCAGGTTCCTCCTTGTCAGTGAAGCTACTCAAATTCAAACTGCCGAGGGATCTTTTACGTGCATGCAAATGTTTTCACATGAGACTTCAGGTTTTTTGTCCCATCCAAACTACTAGACAGTTGTCCTTGTCAGACCCTCCATCCTGCAACTGATTCCAAAAGACTATTGAACTCCAGGATTACATTTGGCCCAGAATTCACGAAGTATTTTTCAGACTTTAGTTAAGAATTTACTCAACTTTCAGTCACTGTTTATAAGAAATATCTTTGATCCAGAAACACAAAACTTTGAACATACTTTCTTATTGATGTATTTGATACATTTAAACAACAAAAGTTTTATAAAGAACCTTATTTTAGTTAAAATAAGGCGAACAATTCTGGGTAAATTCTTTAACTTAAGTCTGAGAATGTTTTGTGAACTTGGAGCCTGGTATCCCAGAACTCAGAACTCGTAGATTATTTGTTTATTTTTCTATCTGAATTCTTTTTTAGAAAATCAATTTCACAAGTAAAAAACGATTTTAAACAGGGAAGATTTATACCATATTCCAGTAGAAAAAATTTTGCTATGATTAAAATATTTTGCACAAATAATTTTTTTTTTTTAATTTCGTTGCCATGATTTGACATTTTGATCTAATTATTTTATCCAAGTAACAAAAATAAATTGCAGCAAAAATTGTGGTAACCAGTAAAAGTTAGGACAGTGATGAACAACTTTTAGTTTATCATTCGAACATTTGACAATGAACATAAAAATGGTTTTGGATATTTTGTTAAGAATTGTGTTGACGGCAAAATACCCATTTATCAAATTGTCAACACTTAACTCGGCTTTGTTAATTCTGCAGAAACATACCGACGACTAATAGCAAAACCATTTCGACTGTCATGAGAAATATTGATAGATTACGAGTTCTGTTTAAGTCTTGTGAAGATGCGATGTTTGTCTTTTGTGATGTTTTACTTCCATGTGTAATTCATTATCAAGTCCGTCTCCTTGATGACATTTCTGGCTCCTGAAAGTTAGGATGTGTTTACACTCAATAGATTTTCCAAGTCTTTTTTTGAGATAGTAATTTTTTACTTGCCTACCACATTATAGTAAATTTCAAAGGGAAAGACTATTTATAATTTGATCAAAATAAAATCCCGAATCATTAGGAAAGATTGAAAAACATAAACAAATTGACGTCATATTCTCTATCAGGTATTTTGTCTACAATGGTTTTAGTGTAGGCCATCGAAAGTATAAAAAAAACGAAACAAAATATAGATTTGTATTTTAATCAGATTGTCTGAATTAAATCTGGAGTTTCATGAGATAATATATTAAATTATTTATCCAAGATTAATGGGAGTCACAGTGGCTCAGTGAGTAAGATATTGGGTCACTATCCTGGAGCTCCCTGTGTTGGCCGAGAAATTTCATCAGGATTTTTTGACTTGGTTCCTCTTTGTTAGTGGTGCAGGACGAAGGGCCTGGCAAGGAACAACATATAGTCATTGGGTCATTATCCTGGAGCTCCCTGTGTTGGCCGAGAAATTTCTTCAGGATTTTCCGATGTGGTTCCTCCTTGTTAGTGGTGCGGAACGGAGGGCCTGGCAAGGAACAACATATAGTCATTCGGATGGGATGAAAAACCTGGATCCTAATAGCCAATAATAATCCTAATAATTGAACATTCGAATATCAGTACCAGTCATGTATTTGTATGGTTTCGGGCGAGGTTTCCCCCTTGTCAGTGGTGCAGGACGGAGGACCTGACAAGGACAGCTGTCTAGTCATTTAGATGGGATGAAAACCGAGGTCCTGTGTATAGACTGGCATGTACGGAAAAGATCCCTTGACAGTTGGAATTCGATAGTGCCATAGTGCCACTGCCCGGGCAAAATTTACCTCATAGCACACTGTACGGCGTATGCCAGTATTCATTAGCCCAGTCGGAGCAGAACAGTAGGACATTAAACTCCATTTAATTTCATTTGTAAATTTAGACCCTGAAGAATAGATTCATACGTCTTGAAAAATAGGAAGGGATTCGACTCTTTTTTTTAATTAATGTCAACGAGTTCCACAGTCGCCCAAATGTAAATAAAACTGTAGGCATAAAAAAACAAGAAACTAATCAAAAACAATTGATTATAAATTTAAGTTACATTCAGGGAAATTTCATCAAAGATAATATTTTACGAATAAAAAAGCAGTTAAAAGAGGAATATGAACTGTTTATCAAGATGAAAAAGTCACGAACAGCTTATTGTGCATCTAAAATAGAACTTGTACAATAAAGCAGCCATCTATAAAGTACATATATTGATCTTTTTACTGCCAAATAAGGCAAGTGTTTGCACTGCATTTATGGCAACAAAAAGCACTTCAGTCTGAGGCTATATTTGAAAATGTCAACCATATAAAAAAAATATTTCCTATTTAAATTGTAAACAAAAATGTCTGTTTTTGTCTGTCATTTTTTCAAAAAATAAAACATATTTTTTTTTGTTCTTAATCTTGCATTAAGTAATAAGAACACTATATAGATGAGTTAAAAATTGTTAAATCCGTGTTTTTGCCCTGCAGGTTTCTAATACTAGCCATTTAGCCATAATCCTCACAGTGTTTCGTTTGATTAGAGCTGATCCCACTTAACACTGCTGTAATGGAAGCAAATTTCTGTTCCAAATTATGAATTAAGTGTGGCGGTTTAATGATGGCGTCTAGATAGTAGCCGTCTTCATTGCTTCTCCCTCTGGTAGGGTGTTGGATGGCCAAATGGTTAGCACGAGCGCGTTTTATCATAAGACCTGTCATTGAGTCAACTAGCGTGGTTTTGAATCCCCGGTTGTACGTGACAAGGAGTAGGGTCGCCTGTGCAACCTAGTGGGTTTTCTCCGGGTCCTCCGGTTTCCCCCAACTGCTAAAGACCCCTATGCGCAAGCGAATTATTGAAATAAAATTAAACCATGTGTTAGTCCCGAAATAACCTAGTTTGTGTTGAGTGGACCTTTCAGTAAAACTTGATTTAAAAAAAAATTACCAGAGCCATGGAGCCAAGAAGAAGTATTAGAATTTTACAACACTGTGAATTGTTAAATCCGTGTTTTTGCCCTGCAGGTTTCTAATACTAGCCATTTAGCCATAATCCTCACAATGTTTCGTTTGATTAGAGCTGATCCCACTTAACACTGCTGTAATGGAAGCAAATTTCTGTTCCAAATTATGAATTAAGTGTAGCGGTTTAATGATGGCGTCTAGATAGTAGCCGTCTTCATTGCTTCTCCCTCTGGTAGGGTGTTGGATGGCCAAATGTTTAGCACGAGCGCGTTTTATCATAAGACCTGTCATTGAGTCAACTAGCGTGGTTTTGAATCCCCGGTTGTACGTGACAAGGAGTAGGGTCGCCTGTGCAACCTAGTGGGTTTTCTCCGGGTCCTCCGGTTTCCCCCAACTGCTTAAGACCCCTATGCGCAAGCGAATTATTGAAATAAAATTAAACCATGTGTTAGTCCCGAAATAACCTAGTTTGTGTTGAGTGGACCTTTCAGTAAAACTTGATTTAAAAAAAAATTACCAGAGCCATGGAGCCAAGAAGAAGTATTAGAATTTTACAACACTGTGAATTTTAACATTATTGGTGATGTTTTTTTTTTGTTGATAATCTGGATAGTACAGTGTATTTTGAGATTTACATGTAGTTATAGAATAAAAACATAACTCGATGACCATTGAATACCGCTCGAGTTATTCAATGGTTCACGCGAGTGTATCCCTGCCGCATTCCACTCACTTGCACTTGGAATACACTCTTTTGAACCATTGAAGAACCCGAGCGGTATTTGATAGTCATTGAGTTCTATCTATGTATTGTTAAATTTTAAAAATTTATCTTTCTAATTCGCGTGTTTGTTTTGGTCATATGACTGCTTTAAATGAATCATTACCCGCCAGCACCAACAATTACAATTACGTCTGGCCTTTACCATAATTACCATTAATAAAATATAGTAGCGTTAAATTTTAAAAATTTATCTTTCTAAATCGCATGTTTGTTTTGGTCACATGACTTACATGTTTTAAATGAATCATTACCCACCAGCACCAACAGTTACAATTATGTCTGGCCTTTACCATAATTACTGTTGGTAAATTAAGCATAATTATGGTAATTTATAAACATTTGACTAATATCTGTGTGATTATTATAATTATAATATAAGTATGTAACTTTTGATCCAGATTTACAATGTTCTAATAGTCTGAGCCCTGTGTGAGCGAATCGTATTTAGGTTATTTCTGTTAGCTGTCACTTGCTGTGAAAATGGCCTCATTATCATAACTATTGTAGTCCTTCGACACATATTTGATGTGCAGTTGTGTCAAAAGTTTGATGGGAACGTGATTTGGGGTTTTGTTGAAAGATAGAATAGATCTAGATGATTTCATGATGGCTGATATTAAGCGTGATTCCTGTGAGGATTTCGTGAACCAGCAAGAGAAGATAACTAGAGTTAGTAAAAAGAAGAAATCGAAAAGTAAACGATCTAAATGTTGTTCATGTTGTTGTGTTTCAGAAACGGAGAAAGAAGATTCGGGAATGGAAAGTAATAAAGAGATGAAGGTAGGCAAGTTAGGATATTTGTTGTGAGAGAGAGAGAGAGAGAGAGAGAGAGAGAGAGAGAGAGAGACTAACATATGGTTTAATAATTCACTTGCACGTAGGGGTCGTTAGCAGTGGGAGGAAACCGGAGGACCCGGAGAAAAACCCATGAGGTTGGACAGGCAACCCTAATCCTTGTCACGTACAACCGGGGATTCGAAACCACTCCAGTTGACTCAATTACAGACCTTGTGATCTAAAGTGAACACCATAGACCATTCGGCCATCCAACTATTTTTTGTAGACAGTCATTGTCACGTACATGGGATCACGTGGCTAAGTGGGTAAGACGCTGGCTCGCTAGCCTGGAGGTCGGGTGTTCGATCCCTGCATTGGCCTAGAAAGTTCATCCAGATTTTCCAGCGTGGTTTTCCCCTTGTCAGTGATGCAGGACGGAGGGCCTGACAAGGACAGCTGTCTAGTCGTTCGGATGGTACGAAAAACCGAGGGCCCGTGTACACATTGGCGTGCACGTAAAAGATCCCTTGGCAGTTGGAATTCGATATACGAGTAGGCCGTAGAGCCGCTGCCCGGGCAAAATTTCTCTCATAGCACACTGTATGGCGTATGCCCGTCTTCATTAGCCCAGTTTAGGAGCAGAACAGTAGCACATTAAACCCCATTTCAATTCATTTCATTTTGTCACGTACAAGCGAAGAATCAAAACCACGCTACTTGACTAAGTAACAGACCTTATGATCTAAAGTGCAAACGTTAGACCATTCTGCCCTCAAACCCCCAGTTTTTGACGCAACCGTGGAGTTTTATTTCTAATATTAGATGTCAAGGCAAGCCAACTCCCAATGACCGGTTACAATAAATCTATTTGACATTTGGAATATCCCACAAAATGGTTGAATTACATTTAGTCTGATCGAGTTTATAAATTTCAAAAATGTGCTGATTGATTGTGCATGTTAGATATATGATAATGGTTGACACAATTTCTGCGTATTATTTATCAATATACATATTCTATTTTGGCTATCCTTGACGTAAATACCATATTAAAATACCATCAATATTTCGTTACCGTGATTGACATTTGGATAATGACGAAATTTACATCTATTTTAAGTTTTTTTATTGCCTTTGGTTGTGAAATATTCTTTTTTTACTCCCCAAGAATAAATCAGATTTTATGATATTTTTTAACTGATGGATTTTTAGATTCTCAACGTGTTTCGTTTATAAAGCAACATTTTTTCCTTTTCTTAATTTTTAAAATGTATATTTCCTTGACAGTTGATATCCTAAATTCATAAATATATAACCATGGAGACCCCCCCCCTCCACAAAAAATATATACAAACTATGCATCAATCATATATTTGCAGCTAAAAACAATTTATTTTATGATATTTAACAAGCGAAGCAGGGAGCTGGAAACAACCATAGAGACTGCCCCCACAGAAAATAGATAAAAATACCTAAAAATCATTTATTTGTGATGACAAACAATTTATCATAAGAGATTTTTCAAGCGAAACGGGGAACAGTAATGGCTGACAAAAAATGGTGTCCCTAGTTGCTCAGATGGGACCAAAAAGCAAAATTAATTAAAATAATTCATTTGGCATTGTGATAGTTTTGTAAACAAATTTTTAATATGGAACTTTAAAATGATTTTTCCAAACTAATTAAACATTTAGACATTCATTATCCAAGTGCTAAATCTGCCTATTGCAGGTCTTTCTTTGGGCTTAAACATACATTGTGCAAAAGCTAAATCTGCCTATTGCAGGTCTTTCTTTAGGCCTGAAATGTTATCTTAATTATGCACACATCTTGTCAAAACTACAAACGGTGATAACTTGACTCAGAATAAAGTAATTTGAATGAAATTTTCAATATTTTCATTTACATTATCTATTTTCGAGCCATTATAGCAAAAATGGTCAGCTCGTTATCTAAATCTTACATAATGTACAAGTATCTTTAATCCTGTTAGTTAAAGCTTTTTTTGTGTAAAAATCATTATGCACGTTAAAAACTAATTCTTGTATTTTGTAATTACAGAATCCACAAGAAATCGCTTTGAGTGACAGCCGCATCTCTTCCTTGTCAAAGAAAGGACAAATTTATGTTTATGTTGCCAAATATGATTATGATCCCTACACACAGTCACCTAATGAAACTCCAGATTCAGAACTACCCCTTAATGCTGGGGATTATGTTCTTGTGTTTGGGGAAATGGATGAGGTATGTACATATGTCGGGTTTTGTCCTGACGTTAATTTTGAGAGAGAGTGAGAGATGGGGCAACAGGGCTGAATGTCCACTTGACACAAACTAGGTCATTTTGGGACTAACATATGGTTCAATTTTATTTCAATAATTCACTTGCACGTAGGGGTCTTTAGCAGTTGGAGAAAAACAGAGGATCTGGAGAAAACCCTTGAGGTGTACAGGCAACCCTACTCCTGGTCACGTACATTCGGGGAATCAAAATCATGGCAGTTGACTCAATGACAGACCTTATAATTCAATATAATTTCACAGAGAATTAAACAATAGTAAGCCCACATCAATTTCAATTTAGTTCTTCAGGAACAATTATTAAAGTTTTGCTTTGGATTTTTTGAAATATAAAATATTCAAAATGTTTTCCCATCCATATGAAATTACACTATGAATTTGGAAGCAAACAATCTCTCATACAGTAATTTCGTTATCTGACCAAGCAGGCCTACGTAAAATTTGGTGAAAACATGTACACAAGACTCCCATTCCGATTGGAGCCCTGGTGGCTCAGTGAGTAAGACATTGACTCACTAGCCTGTAGGTCAGAGATTTGATCCCGGTGTTGGTCGAGAAAGTGCCCCTTGTCAGTGGTGCAGGACTAAGGACAATGTATAGTCATTCGGATTGGATGGAAAACCAAGGTCCTTTGTACACATTGACATGAACGTAAAAGATCCCTTGGAAGTTGGAATTCAATATAAGAGTAAGCCATAGCGCCGCCGACCGGGCAAAATTTCCCTCATAGCACACTCTATGTCGTATGCCCGTCTTCATTAGCCTAGTTGGAGCAGAACAGTAGGACGTTAAACCCCATTTTATTTAATTTACTAAACACATGATCAGTTCCCGAACTAATGCCTACAAACTTCTGGTACATGCACACACATTGACATGATCAATTATTTTCTAGAATTTCTCAAACAGAAAAACTATTTTTTCGAATATTTTATCTTTAGTGATTTTCTAGATTATGATATATTTTATATATTTTAGGATGGTTTTTATGAAGGGGAACTTGTTGATGGAAGGAAAGGTTTGGTGCCATCCAACTTCATTGAACAAGTTGACAGTAAGTTACGATTTTATTTTTGGAGAAGCGTTATATATGTCTTCGATCCATGGACATGATTTATAGGCTAGTGAATGTCTGATTTAACAATAAGATAGAGAAAGTCACAATGTCTCAGTGAGTAAAATGCCAACTTTAACATACATTATCCGAGAGCTAAATCTGCCTATTGCAGGTCTTTCTTTAGGCCTCTGGCTCGCTAGCCTGGAGGTCGGGTGTTCGATCCCTACATTGGCCGAGAAAGTTTATCTCGATTTTCCGGCGTGGTTTCCCCTTGTCAGTGATGCAGGACAGAGGGCCTGACAAGGACAGCTGTCTAGTCATTCGGATGAGACGAAAAACCGAGGTCCCGTGTACACATTGGCGTGCACGTAAAAGATCCCTTGACAGTTGGAATTCGATATAAGAGTAGGCCGTAGTGCCGCTGTCCGGGCAAAATTTCCCTCATAGCACACTGTATGGCGTATGCCCGTCTTCATTAGCCCAGTTTGGAGCAAAACAGTAGGACGTTAAACCCCATTTCATTTCATTTCATTTCTTTAGGCCTGAAATGTTTTCTAAATTATTAATTAGACATTAATTAACTTATCCAGGCCATAATCAACTCCCGATGGCATCAGATTTATCCGATATTAAATAGATTAGAACAGTTCAGCCATATTTTGATTTAAGCTAAAAATGGAGGAGCGAGACTTAGCTTCGAACAAACAGTACGGTGGTTGAAATTATTGCACACGTCTTGTCAAACCTTCAAAGGTTAGGTTGTAGTGCTGCTGACCTTGCAAACTTTCCTCATAACATACTGCATTGTGTATCCCCCTGGCATAACAATTTTGAATTTCTATTTAGGTGATCATCTTGCCGATTTTCATGCTGCTATGGCGATGGCCCATTCTACGGCACCAGTTGTCGATGATGGAAACTTAAATCGACTGAAAGAAGAATTTGATGAATATGAAAGTTCAATAAAGGAACCAGGTACGGAAATCTTAAAAATAATTTGACATCGATCAATTAATTGTTATTATCGTCATGGCCGCAGTAGTCAGGTGGTGTTGGCCTAGAAAAACCTTCAACTACAATGTCTCAGATTTTTAGAACCTGACCTTCACTTATCACGTGATAAACCTATAGAACACTCTTCCTTCAGCAAAAAAGATCTTAGAGGAACTTAGAATATTTCAAGTCACAATTAAAGACATATTCCAGTAAATGTAAATGTGTTTGAAATTTGCGTTCTGTTGTTATATCTGTGAACATCAAATAATACCATTCATTTGTGATTTAATATTTCCTACATATACATCAGGACACCGAACGCCATTTACATACATGTTATTATTTGATGGCTACAGAGATAACAACAGAACACAAATTTCATACACATAATTCTCAATACTTAAATATATCAGATTCGTCGGTTCGCCAGAAATGCGACAAATTGCGCCATGCACATACACTGAATAGATTGTATGCATTATAACTACAAGCTATTGTTAGATGTAAATCAGCTATATTTATTTCGAGGGGCAGGGGTTGGATGGCCGAATGGCTAGCACATGCGTGCTGTATCATGAGGTCTGTCATTGAGTCAACTGGCATGGTTTCGATTCCCCGGTTGTACGTGACGAGGAGTAGGGTCGCCTGTTCAACCATGTGGTTTTTCTCTGGGTCCTCCGGTTTCCTCCCACTGCTAAAGACCCCTACTCGTGAGCAAATTATTGAAATAAAATTGATCCATATGTTAGTCCTGAAATGACCTAGCCTAGTTTTTGTCTAGTGGACGTTAAACCCCATTTCTCTCTCTTATCCTAGCGCATTGTCGCTATATCGTCAAATATCCAGTGGTATTTATTTCAGATGTAGCGTATCCTAGAGCGTTGTCGTTGGATCGTCAATTATCCAATGGTATTTAATTAAATTTTTATTTCAGATGTAGCTTATCCTAGCGGGTTGTTGTTAAATCATCAATTATCCAGTGGTATTTATTTAAGTTGTTTTATTTCAGATGTAGCGTATCCTAGAGCTTTATCATTAGATCGTCAATTATCCAATGGTATTTATATAAGTTGGAAACCACCTGATGGAGGATCTAACACGGAGGTACAATGTTATCAAGTTTACGTTGATGGTAAATTAAAATCCAGTGTACGAGGAAATGAAAGAACTAAAGCACTTGTAGAAAATATAGACATGAAACAGGTTAGTTTGGATTCTTTTTAAACCAGAGCTGAGGGGAGGGATATTGAAACAGGCCAAATCTGTCCATCATTCCATCCCAGTCAGGCCCTGATTCTTAGAAATTATGCAACTTTCAATTACTGTTTATTAGAAATATCTTTGATCCAGAAACACAAAACTTTGCATATAGTTTTTTATTGATGTATTTGATAACATTAAAACAATAAAAGTTTTATAAAGGGGCTCTGTTTTAGTTAAAATAAGGCAAACAATTTTGATTAAATTCTTAACTGAAGCCTGAGAATGTTTTGTGGAAATGGGGCCAGAACTCTTCCAGTTTCTGAATCAAAGTCTGGTTCCATCGTTTGTTGGGCTTAAAGTCTGCTTTGACCTAGGGTGATATCACAGATAAAGGAAATCTATTAGTTATATTTCTAAAACTGTTCAAATCAGAGCTCACATTTCATTAATATTTACCAGTCTTGGCTGACTAGCTGTGAAATTGACAGGCTAAAGATCTGTTAGTTATGTTTCGAGTAGTATTAAAACTTGAGCTCACACTTCAGTAATATTTTCCGGTCTTGGCCGACTAGCAGTGAAAATGACCTATTGAGCAACTTACCTTTCAGTCAATTTATATGTCATAAAATTAGGTTTTTGAAGAATTTAGCTGTAAAACACAGCCAGATACATTTGAAGCCCAGAGTAGTTTTCAGTTTTGTTAAGTTTCTGAAACAGATCTTTACATAACTTGGTGCACACACATCAGCCTATTATAGCAGCTAATTATGCATTTGTTGGATTAAATAATTATTGTGTTTCCATGGAGAGGGGGGTTGGATGGGCGAATAGTTAGCACGTACGCGCTATATCACGAGGCCTGTCATTGAGTTAACTGGCGTGGTTTCGAATCCGTGGTTGTACTTGACAAGGACTAGGGATGCCTGTCCAACCTCATGGGTTTTCTCTAGGTCCTCCTGTTTCCTCCCACTGTAAAAGACACCTACGCGCAAGCGAATTATTGAAATAAAATTAAACCATATGTTAGTCCCGAAATAACACCATCTCTCTCTCTCTCTCTTCTATGGTATGCAATCTATTTGGGATTTTATTGTATTTTTCAGTTACATAGAGTGTGTGTTCGTTGTGTTACCAAAAGTGGCCATTCATCAAAAGATGCTCAATGTACTATCCTTGTAGGCAAAGGTAAGAACTTCGACATGTTGATAATTAACCTTGTGATAGGCTGTGAGCCATATTTTGTTGTTCTTTACTTAATATTTCAAAACTTTAAAATCTGGAGCCATGATTTGTGGGTGATTCTTTAGAATGAAAAAAAAAAACATATTATAAAAATAGCATGAAATTTAACAGTTCTGAATAAAGATTCCAGGGGATTCATAATTTTTCGAAGAGCATTCATGGCCTTGGTTTCTCATGTGAAACTTAGGATTTGTTAACTCAGCATATAGAAATTCATTCAGTCTGTATTAGAAACGGTTATTACCACTATGAGAAACGAGACCTAATTTGATTGCATGTATAATTATAGGCATCAGTTATATGAAAATTAGGTTAACATAAAGCTGTGAATGAGTCGTTCCTACCGTATTTGATATAATAATTACGCCCACGAACATATTAACACAAGGTACAATTTTATGGATACACAATTACTGAGTTTAATATTAAGTGAAGGCCCTCTAATCAAAGGTGTTAAGCTTTAATTGTATTTGATTCTTATTTGTTGCATATTCTGTATATATTTGCTTATTATTCACTTACCTGTATCATTCACTTAGTATTAAACCCAGTAATTGTGTATCCATAAAATTGTACCTTGTGTTAAGTGAAATGGGGTTTAACGTCCTACAGTTCTGCTCTGACTAGGCTAATGAAGACGGGCATACGCCATACAGTGTGCTATGAGGAAAATTTTACCTGGACAGCCAGAAAAGTAGGATGTTGCATTGTAGCCAGGGTATCATTTAATCTTGTCTAATTTACAACCGTTTAATTTCTCGATCACTGTTAAAAAATAAACAACCCAATTGATTATTGATGTGTAATGTTTAATTTTTGAAAAGTGGTAGGAAATTAAACACTTGTAAATTCTACACTCATTATCAAAATTAATCAGTCAGCTTTAAACTGGACACACTTACAAATTAGATGATTTTGGGTGATTTTAAACAATATTTACAAATTTTTAAACAAAGATTTGATATTAACGGATGTCAAAGAAATTAGAGCTAAATACACAAGATTAAATGATGCACAGGTTACAGAGGGGGGTTGGATGGCAGAATGGTTCGCACATGCGCGTTGCATCATTAGGCCTGTCATTGAGTCAACTAGCGTGGTTTCGAATTCCCGGTTGTACGTGACGAGGAGTAGGGTCGCCTGTCCAACCTCGTGGGTTTTCTCCGGGTCCTCCGTTTCCCGAAATGACCTAGTTTGTGTCGAGTGGACGTTAAACCCCATTTCTCTCTCTCTCCCCCGGTTACAGGTTGTACGTGATGAGGAGTAGGGTCGCCTGTCCAACCTCGTGGGTTTTCTCCGGGTCCTCCGGTTTCCTCCCACTGCTAAAGACCCCTACGCACAAGCGAATTATTGAAATAAAATTAAACCATATGTTAGTCCCGAAATGACCTAGTTTGTGTCGAGTGGACGTTAAACCCCATTTCTCTCTCTCTCCCCGGGTTACAGGGTTAGAACCCATTTCATTTGATTAACATATATTTGTCAGTTTTTGTGTACAATACGGTATATGTATTTGTACATGTAGCAATTTACTAACGATGAATAATTAATCAGGTGCTAATTATTGTTGATATTTCAGACTCTCTACCAGTGCCTTCAGAGGTCAGGGTTAGTGATGTCACGGCTACATGTGCCACCATTAATTGGTTGCCTGGCAACACAAATTACCAGCATTCTATATTAGTAAATGGTCGAGAGGCGAGCGTCGTCGGGGCAGGTGTATGTAGATATACTCTAACAGGTAAATTATACAACACACTTAATATTATTACCCCTACTCCCCACCCAACTCACCTGTAAATATACTCTTACAGGTAATAATATACACTTAATATTGTTATCAAGAAACTCACCTGTAAATATACTCTTACAGGTAATAATACACTTAATATGGTTATCCCCCCACACCCCAACCCAACTCACTTGTAAATATACTCTTACAGGTAATGATATACACTTAATATTGTTATCCCCCCCACCTCAACCCAACTCACTTGTAAATATACTCTTAAAGGTAATAATATACTCTTAATATTGTTAGCCCCCCAGCTCCACCCAACTCACCTGTAATAATCTAACAGGTAATAATGTACACTTTAATATTGTTATCACCTCTCTCGCCCACCTGTAAAATAACAGGTAATAATATACACACACTTATAATACCACCATATCCCCAGCACCAAAAACAACAAAAGAAAGGATGGTGTACAGTGTCGTTTTCTAATGACTAGGAAGATGAAATTTCATCTTAAATGAATGGTCAAACACAATTGTTACCCTGTTTCCACCCCATCCACCTCATTTAATATTGTTACTCCACCCACTCCCACCCCCAACCCCCACCCGCTAATCCCACCCCACTTGTCTCACCTACCATGTCCTTCTGTACTTAAATAAATTTATTTTATGCAAATTACCCCTAGTCTCTATCTCTCTATCCATGGTCAGTGTTGAAGGATGAACCGCATATAGTCATCCAGATAGGATGGAAAACTTTATGTATGTTCCCTTCAATGGAACCCAGGTCATTAAAGCGATAATGTTATGTTTACATTTAATTAACCTTTTTTTTTCTGTTACTAATTTTTGTTCCTCTTGTTTTTTGTAGGGCTGGACCCTGGTACAAGTCATAGAATAATTGTTCGTGCCAAAAATCAATCGTTAAATTACGATGACGAACGAAGTAGAAAACGTTTAGAGCAACTTTCTGCTGCTACAGAATTTAGAACTAAAGATGCTGGTAAGATGAGGGTTAAAATTGTAAATTGACTATATGTCTCACCCAGACCAGAAAACCTCATACTATATGTCTCACCCAAATTAGATAACCTAATACTATATGTCTCACCCAGACCAGATAACCTGTTACTATATGTCTCACCCAGACCAGAAAACCTCATACTATATGTCTCACCCAAATTAGATAACCTCATACTATATGTCTCACCCAGACCAGATAACCTGTTACTATATGTCTTACCTAGGATGTCATACTTTTTAATCGATGAAGAGGAAGAGGAAACAATGCTGTAACTATGGATATGACCAAAGTGTGGTGTTGACGAGATATATTAAGTCCATTTCTTTACATTCCATTTTTCTTGTTTCCTCTTTCTTCATAGGTCGAGGCATAGCAGAACAGTTGGACATTAAACCCCATATGATTTTATCTCGTTTCCTTTGAACAGGTCCACCAGACCCACCTATCGGAGTCCAGCTAGAAACAGGTCCACAAGAAGGTACTCTCTTGTTAACATGGATTCCTGTATCTCTGAAAACCGATGAGAATTCTTCCAGTTCGGGTGTTGTTATAGGTTATAATATCTATATTGATGGGCGGAAAGCCAAAGAAGCCACCGGTGCCACAAGTAAGTTTAATAATTACCTGGATGAGAGAGATAGAGAGAGAGAGAGAGAGAGAGAGAGAGAGAGAGAGAGAGAGAGGGTTTAACGTCCACTCGACACAAAC